GTACCAGAGCACAGCTACCCAGACGCTGCCTCATCCTACCTTCCGGGGCCAGCTCAGGACGGAGGCCCGTGGTGTGGCTGAAGGCTCAGGCCCAGAACTGGCTCCCGATGGTGCTCACCAGCGGCAGTCTGCTCCTCCTGGGGCTGACGCCGGCAGAGACTGTCACCAGTGGGCACCAGAGGGTGGCAGGGAGGGTTCTCGGAGGCCCAGGCAGGTAGGAGCTGGCAGTGGTCAGCAAGGCGGACAGCTGGCTGGACGAAGGGCTGGTGGCCACTGGCTTGGAATGGCCACCAAGGCCACAGGGCGACCACTAGGCACGAGTAAGGTGTGACCTACTCTGGGCAGCCAGCCACGGCTGCAAGAAAGCCGCTGGGGCTTCAACTGTCGGGAGCTGGACATGCCCCACGAGGGTTCCAGAACCCGCGGTCCCAGCTGCTCTTGGTTTATAAACCTCGGCCAACAGGTCCCTTCCTGTCACTGCAGTCTTGGCATTCAGAAAACAGAACCCTGGGGGGAGGGGTGAAAAAAAAAAGAAAATGGAACCAAGGGGAGGGGATGGGCCCACTGTTGGACCAGGCAGGAGGGAAGGGAAGTCCCAGCCCCCACGGGGCCCAGCAGGGGTCCCAAGGTCAGCTGCCCCCTCAGTCCGAGACTCACCAAGATCAGGATTCTGCAGGAAATCAGTGAATAAGACATGCACGTGGTCTGCAGTGAAAACATTTATTTTTACAACAGTTATCTTTATTTTAGGTCAACATTCAGACACACAAGACGGCGATCACCATGCGATACCAGCCTGGCCCTTAGATGTGCGTGTGGGAGCCAGGACTGGCCAGAGGTTCTGGCACGGCCTGCACCCAGCACGGTCCGATTCCAGTCAGAGGACAAAGCCAGTGCATGGACGACTGGCTTCCACGCACCTGCATCTCATTTTAAAAACAAGGTATGTATGTTTCAGTGTAAACTTCCTCCCCTCCTTTGGCTTGAAACATTAACCCCATTTTCCAGGAAAACAAAATCTACCCAAAGGTGCTGCCTGTAAGATCCGCAGCCCCTTCCCTGGAGGACGGTGCTGAGGCCCCTGAGCCCTGCTGCTCGGACCTCAGGCTGGGTCTGGGCGGAACCTTCCCGGCTTCCCCACCCGTATCTGCTGCTGGGAAAACTGGCTTTAATGCTTCAAGGGAGGGGAGGGTTCCCAGTCACCACTCAGATCCACACGGGACACACGCCTGTGGACCAGGTGAGGACGGCAGCCCCCAGGGATGGGCATGTGGCCGTGACAGTCACCCTCACGCCGGCCCTGCGCACCACGGCTGAGCGTGCCCTTCTGTGCGCCCGCCACCCGGAGACCCTGTCCTGTCCGACTTGCCAAGAAACCAGAGGCCATTTTGGAGCCAACGTTTATTGTACTCGTTGCTTCACTGCCAGACAGCAGCATGACACGCCTGCTGCGTGATATATACATATACACATATGTACACACACGGACACACACCACAGCCCACACTCACAGTATGTGACAACGCGAACCGTGCTTGTAAGGACAGTAATAATGTAGCTTTTGCCAATTCCACAGGAGGATGACTCAACCAAAATAACAGGTCGGTCCTGTGCCGCTCGGTGCACAGCTCAGAACATGGAGAGGAACGAGATCAGTCACTTTCATACCCCTCGAGAGCCACCCGCGGCAGGGCCCGCTGAGAGCCAGCAGCGGACGGACAGGACCCACCCCGCCCTCTGCCTGCATGCTGGCGCCCACCCCGTCTGGGGCAGGGACGGTGGGTCCCTCCCAGACCCCCAGCTGCACGGGGAGGTGTTCCAGCGCGAGGCTCACCCGGAACTGACTGCCACGGGCTCCACAGGACAATGGGCACCGCTACTGGTGACACCCGGGTTAGAAGGTCTGAGGACAGTCCTGACTGCTCTGTGCTATGGACCCTTTCCTGGACCGGACCCTCGTGGCCAAGTCCAGCAGCTGACAACAAGGAGACGAAGCTTCCCGCCAACCGCGCACACGCGGGTTTCTATCTCTACAAGGTCCCCATTGGGCGTTGGCTGCATCGACCGAACGTCAGAGAACTAGGAAAGTTCACGCACATTAAGCAGTAATATCTAAAGCAGTTTAGAAATAAAGCCAAAAGGAAGACAAGAAAAGCCCACGTCACTGAGTGGAAACAGAAATCTACACATCAGCAGCAACCGCGGAGGGACCCCTTTGTGAAACCGGAGGGTCTTCGACACACACCGACCCGGCACCCCACCCCCCCAGCAACACACAGCTGTGCCGCCCGCAGCCTGGGAGGGGGCTGGGTGCTCCTGTCACCAGCAGCAGCAGGCAGGGGTGCTGGGGCTGCAGGGGGTCCTGGTCCGGCAGGGAGAATAGGAAGGGGCTCGGGCTGCCTCAGGACACACCAGCTCTGCTTATTAAAAGGGAAACAAGCCGTCCACTCGAGAGAGAGGGAAACAAAACCGGGAAGATCTTTTTCCTTGAATCAAAACAAAGCCTTAGAACCGACAGAGTGAAACACGGAAAAGGGGCTTTGCCTCAGGGTCATTAGTGGGAAGAGCGCCCGCCCTGGCTGTCCGGGCTCCGCTGTGGTAACTAACGGTCATCACCATGAGAGTTGTTGTCATGGCCATCCTCGATTTATGTTTAGTTTTTACAAATTATGCAGGGGCCTGGGGTCCACAAACCTCCAGACCTGCTGCTCTTGTCTGCCACGCCCCGCCGTCCGGGGGAGCTGTGCAATTCTGAGGAACAGTCAGTGGGGTTCTGGAACTGGGCTCGAACAATCCTCCCGCCTTGGCCTCCCAGAGTGCCAGGAATACAGGCGTGAGCCACCGCGCCCGCTGGTTCTGGAACTGGGAAGCCACCTGGCAGGGGGCCACCTGGGCAGTGTGACGGGGCCTAGGCGTACCCTAGTCACAGAGCTGAGTGCAGAACCCCGGAGGCCAGGTGGAGCCTGGCTCGTTGCCATTCCAGGAGAAACAACTCACTTCCTAAGCTGTCTCTAGAAAAGTCACCGAGGCTGCAGCAGCACCTCAGACTGAATCCTTGTACTGGGGTCAGCAGAGGTTCCCCGTTATCTCGCCTCCTCCCCGGCTCCGGGATGGGTCAAACAATAGATCTCTTATCCTGGGGGTCTGATTTTAACGAATTATTTCTAACTTAATAACACAGTGTAGTGCGTATCTTCTCTCTCACCGAAAGTCTTCATGATCATTTTAATGAGCAAAAAGCAAAGCAAAGTGGGACAAGCTGCCGCAGGGCCTGGTGCCGGCAGCCAGCCCAGGGCCATGATGGATCTACCGGGGGCCAGCTGGGCCCCCACCAGCAGCACCTTTTGACACGTCCCCCTCTCACAGCCGCGGGTGGGCCAGAGTCGGCAGGTGGGCGGGGAGGAGGGGGCTTCAGGACCACCTTCCGGTCTGGCCCAGCCAGAGAGCACACCTCCTCCTGGCTGTCGTCTCTGCTGCATGTTCGGAAAACAGTAGCCCCCGGACTCTGCTCTGGGGCCAGGGCAGGGGTGGCCTGCACGGCCAGCGGCCAGGGCTGTGGCAGATCCAAGCCCTGGGCCAGCACGGGCACGTCACCCACACGTCCTCAGCCCCCACACGGTCTGGGAGAAAGACCAATTCTCAGCAGTTCCCAAAGGGATCCCCCGGCCTGGCCGCTCACCTCCCTGGGACCCAACCCTCCCGCGGCCCAGGGACCTTTGGTCCAGCCCTTCCTTCAGGGACCCAGCGTCTCCAGTCCCGCCTGATCGTCGGGGACGGGCGAAGGCATGTGGAGTCGGGGGAGCTCTGGCCAACACACAGGGGCTCTGGGGGGCTGCCTGTCACCAGGGCAGGGTACAGGCAGCCGTGCGCCACCCACACCAGAACTCACAGTCCTCTGACTGTCACTGGTTGGGCTGGTCCTACCATTCGTGGTTCTAAAGGCCCAGAAAGGATTTATTACAAAAGGACAGGTGGCTTGAAGGAATGTGGAGGGTGACCCAGGGTGGGGGAGAGGGGAGACGTGGCCCCGACAATCCAGCTCGCTGCCTGGGAAGGGGCAGGAATGCAAACGACCTCCCACATACTGGCGAAGGACACTGCTCAGAAGACGGGAACCTCACAGTCCTCTGACGAGGAGACCCAGGCCAGGAACACCGCGCAGAGAACGTGGCTTCAGTCTCAGAAGGGGCCCTGCCTATGCCGTCCACAGCAAACATACCCACGGGAAAAATCCCACTGTGCAGCCCTGTCAACAAGGCGAAGAGATCCTGCGTAAACCGTGCCCAACACACACACGTGGAACGACGAGGATGCTGGTGGTACCCGGGAGGACGTGGCCCAGCCCCTTCCCCGGCAGGTGACATCAGAACTTTGCTGCGGCCTTGGGGCTGGGCGCACAGAGCGCAGACCAGACCCCGAGGCCAACACGGAGACGCAGCTCCGCCAGGCAGCACCTGCCTCCGGCCCCCGAGAACACAGGGCAGGAAGGGGCAGCTCCTTCCTCTCCTCGCCCACCTGGCCGGGCAGCACCTGGCGGCTGCGATCAACTCTCACTGGACCGACCTGACCAAAAGCCCCGAGGCAGCTCCACCGTCCAGCTGACACGGCCGTGCCGCGCACGTCCACAACACAGACATGGAACATAACCCCACACATGCTATTAAAAAAGGAAAAACAGAAGAAGACCGTAGCTACACTGCTTTAAATACTGCATGCTACGCACTTCGTGGGTCAAGGGTCGATGCTGGGCGGGCGTGGAGGTGGCAGGAGGGGCCCAGCGCAGCCGCGGCAGGCAGGCAGCAGCCTCCCCATGTCTGTGACTACAGTTCATGATTCTAAGGTTGGGGTGGCCAGGCGCTGATCGCCGGTGACCACAGCTTCTCCTGGACTTAGTTGAACCCGTCAGTGTGGTAGCTGGGGTGGGAGTCGGCCGTGAGCTGGGTGGTCTCAGTGGCGGATGCTGGCTGTATGACGATCGGCGTGTCTGTGGCCTCTGAAAAGCAAGCACACACGGGGCACTGCAGGAGGGCAGCTGCCTGGCCTCGCCCGTCAACACCGTCCTGTGTGGCAGACACAGGGCACTGCAGGAGCGCAGCCGCCTGGCCACGCCCATCAACGCCATCCTGCACACGACGTTCGGTCACCTGGACAAACGCTCCACGGGGAGAGGCTACTCGCTGACCTCCACCCAATACGGCTTTCCTCAGGCACCTCCAGTCACCGCCAGCCCTTGGCCCTCAGCCCCTGCCCACCTGCTTGCCACCCGCCCCGCCTCTCGGCCCCTGGGATCTATGGCTACCGCAGGTCACGGGTGGGGACAGCCCTCTGCGCCTGCTTTACCTCCAGGGTCCATGTTCACACCTCAACAGTCCCAGCTGCCACCACAAACACTCGCGGCACAGTGTCAGTGCCCTCCTGTTTGACAAGACAGGTTGACAGCATTCAGGGCCCGCGCCGGCTCTGCCCACGCACGCACACGGTCCCGGGACAGGCACTCACCCCTCTCGTCGGACTGCAGCTGCGCCTCCAGGTCCTCGGGGGACACGTAGAACTCCGTCTCCTCGCCCTCGGGCGCTTTGGGCTTGCACTTCCCGCAGCAGCAGTTGAAGCAGCAGCACAGGCAGCAGCAGCAGTAGCAGCACGTGAGGAGGCCGCAGAAGACGAACAGGGCCTGGGGAGACAAGGGGCTGGCGTTGCACGGCCTCCGAGACCCCCGGCAGGCCGTGGCACGCTTCACGCCAAGAGCATCGTTTCCCAGATGAAGTATAAAGAGAGAACTAAACACAAGAGACAGAAAGAGATCAGTTGCTTAAAGAAAAATGTTTAAAGACGGGAATGACGGCTGACAAGTAACAGCCAGAGCCGGGCTTCCTGCAGCTAAGGGCCACGGGATGACTCACACCCTAGGCCTCACATGAGATGCACCCTGGGAATAAAATAAGGAAACAAGAAATGCTAATAAGAAGCGAAGGCTTCTTCCCCACCTCATCCTTTTGAGAACCTGGAGCCATTCACAGAAGAACACAGTGTTGCTACGAGGGGCTCGCACAGATCTCGCTCTGCGTCCTGTGCACTTTGATCCTCACCGCGGGCCACGAGCCAGCCACGGAGAGGAGAAAGGAACCACTCCTCGGGAGTGCGAATGTGTGAATCAAACGCACTGATCCTTCGGGTCTGAAGTCCTAGCAGGCACGAGGTGCCCAGGGCCCCGCAGCTTGGTGGTTCGCCGCCTGCCCCTCACCTTGGCCCACCAACTGGACAACACGAAGTAGGTGTTCACGTTCTCCTCTCCAAACTGCTCCGCCACGTAGAGCCCCAGGGAGCCGTATTTGTCGTAGATGTTTCTTTTTGTGGCGTCCGTCAGGATGGCGTGGGCGTTGTTGATCTCCTTAAACTTGTCCGCGGCCTCTGGGTTATCGGGGTTCTTGTCAGGGTGGTATTTCAAGGCAAGTTTCCTGCAAACCAAAATCATTTCCTGGCCTTATCTCAGTTTCAAGTTTTACGCTTATCCATTGGAGGCCCCGTGGAAGAAATGTTTACCCCCTGCCACTCACTTTCCAGCGTATTAGAGTTCCAGAATGTCAGGGTCGTTTCAGGGCAACCCCCCCGCCCCGACCCTGACCCACCCACAGAGGTCCCGAGGTGCGTGAGGGGTCTGGGCCCCAGTAACTTCAACAGCGCGAAGGCAAGCCCCACCGCCGAGCCCTGGCGTCCCAGCTGGCTAACTGCACACTCAAAGAGGCGGTGAGCGTAGAGAGCATAGTGACAGCATTTTAATATTTAGTGAGTTTCACAGCACGAAGAACACAAAAGGAGGACTATTAGAATTGTCTGAATTAACGATGGTGTATGTCTCCCACAGGTTACTAAATGAAACCGTACCTGAGAGTTAAGTTCTTCCAGCTCAACTGGAAGAACACAACAGAGCAAAGAGACCGCCATCACCGTGTTAAAACAAGCAACTCCTCTAGCCGTTCCAAAGCTCTGCTTGCACCAAGGCGGTCTCTCAACAAGCTCAAACCCTGACCCCCTGTGGAACTGTGGGCAGTCTGTAAGAGCTACAGAGTGCTATTTTTTGTGGCCAAGAGAGCATTAATATGACAATTTTAGGCTATCAGGAGCACACCGCACACAAAGATGCAACAGAACCGTTACCAGCTAAATACCAAGTCTGCCAGGACAAAGTACGTGCGTAGTTCTTGGTAAAATGCTGACAAAACCACAGGAGGGCTTCTTTGTCCTTCTAAGGGGAACATGGTGGCCTATGCGTGGCCTCTTACCGATAGGACTTTTTGATGTCATCTGAGGTTGCATTCTTGTCCAGCCCAAGAACGTGGTAGAGTGAGTCCCCCGAGGTAGAGAGTGAGCGCTGTCTCTGGTCTGCCATGTTAGGCTAATCTACAAAAAAATTTTTTAAAAAAAACCGTCAACAAGTACAAATGAAAATATCAAGTGTGGAGCTGATGGACTTTATTCCGTAAGACTGTTCAAAGCAAAAAAATCAAAATACCATCTTGTGCGGTTTATACGGGCGTGTGGAGGAGCAGTCCTGTGCTACACCGGACAGGACAGGCCACAATATTCTACCCTAAGCAGACCCTGGAATATTAAAGGTATGTATTTTAATCCCTAGAGCAACCCTACATAAAAAACAAGAAGTATAGCTAAAAAGTTAAAAAAAAAAAAAAAAAGAGTTAAAAGATAAATGAAAATGAAACTCTTAAAAGTCAGGGGTTGTCAGAATGGATAAAAATGTAATACCCAGCCGGGCATGGTGGCTCATGCCTGTAATCCTAGCTCTCTGGGAGGCCAAGGTGGGAGGATAGCTGCAGCTCAGGGGTTCGACACCAGCCTGAGCACAGTGAGACCCCGTCTCTAGAGACAAGAAACAAAAACAAAAAAAGATAAAACCACACTCTCAAACCACCACGACCCAACTGACAGTCACAGAACCACCACCATCTACAGAACAGTCTTTCTAAGCACACACTGTGCACTGACTAAGACACACCACATGCTGGGCCCTAAAAGAGATTCCAATAAATTTAAATGCACTGAAATTGCACAGTGTGCCCTGACCTTAAGAGAATCAGAAACCCTAATTTAAAGGTTTATAGTAAGACATATAGGAAAACCTCAAATATTTGATATTAAACAACATACTTCTAAATAACGTGTAGCCCACAGAGGAAATCACAGGGAAACTATAATTTTTTTTTTTTAAGAGACAGGGTCTCCCTCTGTTGCCCAGGCTGGAGTGCAGTGGCCTGATCACACTTCTCTTGAACTCCTGGGCTCCAGTGATCCTCCTGCCTCAGCCTCCAGATTAGCTGGGACTACAGGTATATGCCACTGAGGCCGGACAGAAAATACATTAAATTGAGTAATAAAATACAACACATGTGCAGGTTAATTTTATGTGGCACCTTGACTGTGCCATTGGGTGCCCAGATTAAACATTATTTCTGCATTTGTCGGTGAGGACGTTTCTGGATGAGACGAGCCTTAGAACTCGTGGACGCGGTAAAGTAGAGAGTGCCTTCCCCAACACAGGTGGGCCTCACCCATGCCTGGATCCCTGGGGTGAGGGAATACAAGGAAGAGGTGGAGGAGGAGGAATCTGCCTGTTCTTTCCTCCTGCCAGGCTAAGCTGCAACAGTGGTCTTGTCCTGCCCTGGGACTGGGATTAACCCCACCTCCCTCTCAGACACATACCCCTTCCTCTCTCACACACAGACCAGGCTAAGCTGAGCACTGGTCTCCTGCGCCGGGACTGGGATCACACCCCACCTTTCCTCAGTCCCCAGCCTGCAGACCATCACGTGAGCCAACTCCTCGCAACAAATCTCCTTTGGAAGGTAGATAGATAGAGGCAGAAGGAACCGAGAAAGACATTAGTTCTGTGTTCCTGGAGAACACTGCACAACGCATTCATCAAGACCTAAGGTTCCACCTCACGATGCTACAAAATAGCAAAATAACCCAAAAGAAATGGAAGGAAGGGAATAATAAAGTACAGCAACGAATGAAACAGAAAACAAACAACAGAGAAATTTAACAAAGCCCAAAGCTGGTTCTTCTGAAACAACAAAAAAATTGACCAAGGAAAAGAGAACAGACATCAGCAACATGAGGAAAGAGGGTTCATCACCACAGATCCTAGAGGCATGAAAAAGATAAAAGAATGTCATGAACTTCATTCCAAGAAATTAGAAAAGTTAGAAGAAATGGACAAATGCCTTGAAAAATATAATTTACCAAAATTGACACAGAATGGACTATAATAATCACTAAGACAGGGTAAACATTATCAAAATATCACATGTACCCTATAAAGATATACAACTATTATGTACCCATAATAATTTTTTAAAAATCGACACAGAATGAAACAGAAAATCTAAATAGCCCTCTATTAATAAAACTAAATTTATAATAAAAAATCTCCACCCAGCCTGAGCAACACAGCAAGACCCCGTCTCTACAAAAAATACAAAAATTAGCCAGGTGTGGTGGCGCATGCCTGTAGTCCCACCTACTTGGGAAGCTGAGGCAGGAGGATCGCTTGAGCCCAGGAGTTTGAGGATGCAGTTAGCTGTGATGACGCCACTGCACTCTAGCCGGGGTGACAGAGTGAGATCCTGTCTCGGAAAAAAAAAAAAAAAAATCCCTGATAAACATGGATGCAAAAATCCTTAACAAAATATTAACATATTGAATCTAACGATATAGAAAAAGTTATATACATCATGATTAATTATTCCAGGACTGAAAGCTGGATTTAACATTTCGAAATAAATCAATGAGACTCACTATATAATAGTGTATTGTATTCAGGATTTTTGGTAAATGAGTAGATTACAGCAGCTATTCCCACACAGGGGAAAATGGGTAATTATGTGAGATGATTGCTACGTTAAGTTGTTCGCCTACGGTAACCATCTTATGATCCACGTACCCTATAACATCAGGTGCATACCTTAAGTATACACAATAAAATTTAAAAAAACAAACAAAAAACCAGAATTCTATTTCCAGCAAAAACATCCTATAGAAACAAACGTGAAATAAAGACATTTTCAGATAACCAGAAACTAGAAAAACGCATCGCAAAGATTTAAAATACAAGAAATGCCAAAGAAAGTTACCTAGGCTAAGGGTAAATAGTACCACATACAAATCCAGATTTTCAGAAGGGAACGAAGACCACTGGAAAGCGCAAATCTAGGTAAAAGACCTTTTTTCCTTTTTTTTTTTAATACACAAGATGGTTTAAAGCAAAAATCACCGACATTGGCTTGGGGGCACAATGCAAGTGAGGTAGCGCACAGGGCTACTCCAGCAAGGCGACAGACTGAGGACACCGAAGGTCTCTGGGTTTACGAGAACTGGTACCATATTAGCTCTAAGTGGAGAGATGGCCCAAATGGCCACTGACAGAACTGATTACCATTCACCAATAAAAAGAATGACACACACCAGCAACAACACAGACGGATCTCAAACATATTATGTCAATGAAAACAAACTAGATACAAAATTACTCCGTCTATACAAAGATTAACAGGAAAAATAATCTATCATGATATAAATTAGTAAAGTGACTATTTAAGAGTGGTGAAGGAAAATCTTCTACCTTGATAAAAATATCCTATAACTTAGCTGGGCACGGTGGCACGCACCTATAATCCCAGCTCCTTGGGAGACTGAGGCAGGAGGATAGCTTGAGCCCAGGAGTTCAAGACCAGCCTGGCAAACATACCGAGACAGTGAGATCCTGTCTCAAAAAAAAAAAGAGGGAGAGAGAAAAGAAAAGAAAGAAAGAAATATCCTGTAACTTAATTGGGGTGGTGATTTCATAAATGTATACATTATACAAAACTCACTGAAATTCACAGCTAAGATCTGTGCATTTCACTGTATGTCAATTTTGCCTGCAGTAAAAAGAAAAGAAACTATCTGTTATAATTAAGGTTATTTGTTCTTGAAGAACATTAGATACAAGAAAATAAAGTAAAACGTAAAATTCTCCAGTCTTTAGAACAGGCTACCTGTTTTTACAAATAAACTTTCATTGGGACATAGCAATTTGCTTCCGTACTGTCTGTAGCTGCTCTCAACAGACACAAAGCCTAAGATAAAGGCTGCTGGCCCTGTTAGAAAATAGTACATGAACAGCCCGTTCCAGAAGTAGCTACTACTGTGAACATTATTAAAATTGGCCTTCTATGCCATACACGGTGGCTCATGTCTGTAATCCCAGCACTTTGGGAGGCCAAGGCAGGAGGATCACTTGAGGCCAGGAGTTTAAGACCAGCCTGGGCAACACAGCAAGACCCTGTCTTACAAAATAAATACTTAAAAACTGGCATTCTACAGTTTGAGCCAGGAAATGGAATAAATGTTGTCCAAGCATAGAAATTATTAAATTTAGATTTCTATACCATTTCACACACATTTCAAAAGTTAACCTTCTAGTTAAAAACTAACCATTGTCAGGCAATATGAACTTCTAAAAGCTACAATTGGAACATAGTCTTATGACTAAAAGACAGACTTAAGCCCCGAATGACAGTCTCTGATTTCATTCTTAGGATATGTGATACTAGGAGAGAGAAATGAAGTTTTGTGGGTTTTAAAAAATTAATATCAGCCGGGCGCGGTGGCTCACGCCTGTAATCCTAGCACTCTGAGAGGCCAAGGCGGGCGGATTGTTTGAGCTCAGGAGTTCGAAACCAGCCTGAGCAAAAGCGAGACCCCGACTCTACTAAAAATACAAAAAGAAATTAATCGGACAACTAAAAATACATAGAAAAAATTAGCCGGGCATGGTGGCGCATGCCTGTAGTCCCAGCTACTCGGGAGGCTGAGGC